GCCAGGCCTTAGCTTGACCGCCCTTTGCTTTTTTCCAATCGCTACCAAAATTGGCAAACATCGTTCACCGCTGCGCGCCTTGTTTGTAGTGACTATTACAGGATGGAGAAAGCCCCGTGGAGGCCAGTAGATGACGTGGGGACGAGGCATAAATAAATGCACAGAGCGATCAGACAGAGTAGGTGTCTCTTGTCTTCCGGGTTGGGTCCAAAAGACTCTGTAACTGCATGGTTAGAGACACTGAAGGTTATGGCTGGGTAAAAATCTAGCGCGATTTAGCCACATATTAGCTGAGGCGTTTGTATACCACTGGTATTGAGGTCTACAGCATGCTGAGAGCCAGGCAGCACTTTTTACGACCAGACATTATTTGCCTCTTTTTGCCTATAATTTCCATCTGTTTTTGTACACTTTCCAGCCTATTATCTTTAATGCCTACCCTTACGGTAAGTCTAGCGTCCGGTTTAGGGATCACAGGATCTGCATCCGTGATACTGAGGTTCTCGCTTATACCACAGTCGTAACAGGAGCTTGTATTTGTGAAGTCTACCGGTGCATTCGTCGTCTGACACCACCCTTGATATATGGCTCGGTTTAAGTCACCACCGGTGGATAACCGGTTAGGTGATGGTTAATCGCTGTCATATTCAGTTCCAACAAAGATGCCTCAGGTTTCTGCATAAAAATGTCTGAGTGCGGTTTTACTGCGCAGTCGACATGCATAGTGTTCAAATATTGTACCCGCAGAAGTTCAGATATTTTTACTCCTATTGGACAATGTCAGCACAACCAATATGTATCCATCCGTTGCGCCCATCGCGTTGACCGCTGCTGGTACGTGGATCAACAAGGGTTTTAAAGATTTTGCAGCCGTTTTTCTTGGGATTTGTGCACATCTTGGATTATTCATGACAAATGATCGATGTTTTGTGGCGATTTCAAAAATTTATGAGATGAGCGTTACACACCTCGTTTAACGCAACAACAACGGATAATCTTAAACGATTAATGAGTTATTTAATATTCTCATATAATTTTTTCATGTTTTTCACTTTATTTGTGTTTTATTTTGTAAACTACCATCTGAACTTGAGAAAACGTATACGATGGTGGGTAACCACAGGTCCCGCTGGGACTCGGATGAGATGAATTTTCGTTTCTTCCGCTGAATGGCTTCGGATTTATTTAGTTGATTAATTAACCAAATAAATTTTGTAGGTACATTATGGTTGAGCTGTGGTGTAAAGCTCGAAGTGAGTCCTTTAATGTCACCCACTGTCATAAGGGAAGTAAATGTTTTTTTCCCTGTAACCAATAATATGCAACTTGTCTGAATCTTTGTGGCGTCAGTATTCAGCTAACGTCTGGAAGTTTGCTTTTATCGTTTCCTTACTCACAGTGCTGTGGGTTTCTAGACTTAAAGATATCCAGTAGCATTCTACCTAAATAACCTCAGCTGTAGTTTAGCTACTCCTTCGCAGGGTCTGACTGTTGCAACTATAAACTCACCTTTCTAAAATAAAACTGGTTGAAACACCTCACAGTCAATCTTTCCTAGAGATACGCCCAGTTTGGGAGAGTTGAATTTGATCAGGAAACAATGAAACACTGGTCCTAATACCAATGATATTTTACGGAAGCCTGGTGGGCTACAAATTCCATTGAGGCAAGTGCATGCAGTCGGTTAGAGAGGAATTTGTCCGGGATCCAAGTTAATGTTTTCAATTTTTCGCATGATTTCCGGAGAGCTCTTATATCGGTTACCTCAGACATCTTCCATTAATTTAGTAGAATAGCTGATTTCTCGCTGATCTTATACTGTCCTTTCAAACCAGCCGTTGACGGAAGGATTTTCCTCCGGAAAATGTGTGTTCGCATCCCACCAACACCAAAGTTTAAACTCTCAAGCTGACTAGGGAAAAGTATGGATTACTGTGATGTAAAATAAAATAAATAGGTTTTCATTCGCATCATTTTCTAGATATAGCAATAATAACATGTTTTCTAATTTTTCAGCGTACAATTCGATTTTTTGCGATATTTCGATTCTCCCAACTTTCTTATTCAACAAAGGAAACTAAAAATGTTTAAATCTATGACAGTATGACGGATGTGGACACGGTTAATCTAGAAAACCTTGCTGATCTTGAAGAGACATACGTTAGATGCCTGGGTTCGGAAGAAACGCCGGCATGTGGATTCATCCGCAGTATGATCAGTCGTGAATATGAGCGTGATATCAAGTGAGTTCCCGATAGTTATTTTTCATTTTCCAAGATGGCTTACTAATTTAAGAATTGAAGCAATTAAGGGGACTGACATGAAACTAATTATTTTTGTCCCTTATTTAAAGGTAGGTACATTTGCAATAGCCTGTTTGACATACAACTAATTAGACAAGATATTTGACAATGTTGGGAGAAAATCAGATCTTTTAAAAGTACAACTAGGTCATAATAATTTATTTGATAAGAATAAAGCAATAATGCGATAGCAATAAGCATTACTTTTCAAGCCCCAATATCCGTGCTTATAAATATTGAAGCTTGGCAATCTTTAGCTTGATTGACAAACGTATACAGTTTTACTTCATTCTACCTGCTTCAGGCAAATTAGTGCGTATAGTATATAAAGACTCGCACTCTTTATTTTATATTTATTATGACCATTATTACGAAAATGACAAGATAGTCCATTGCATTAGTAGGGAGAATCCGTTGTTTATATATTTTAAAAGCTTAACCGATTTCAATTTCCGGTTGCGTCACATAAACCGTGGAGCAACAATAGCATTTTCTCCATCTCAAAGGAGTTTTCATTCAATCCACCGCAGGGATCTCTTCAGTTTCGTTCTTTTCAGATAAACGCCCCAGATATATATCACCTTACCAAATTCACTGTACTCGCATAACTCTATTCGAGTGAGTGTCTGTAGCGCACTTAATAAATCGTTCGTCACGGACAAAGTTGTTTCTAAAGGATAACCTACTTCATAATTCCCGTTCAATCTCGTCATAAACAAAATATTGCTGGACATTCTAAGTGGACTCCTTAATTTTGGTATTGCATAGGTAAAAGGAGAAACGATTTGCGATTTGCATAAGGCGGACGACATTGTCTGTTTTTTCGAATGCATGAAGTTCTCCCAGAGTGCACTTGGGAGTTCTGTTGTTCAAGTCAAGTCAAGTCAAAGTAAGCTTTATGCACCCGTGGGGTGAATTTTCAGCGATTTTTCACGATAATATAGTGGAGCTGAGGTGAATGACCTCCGAGTGTGAATAGGTTAATTTAAAAGAAAAAACGACAGAAAACTGAACGCAGGAAGACGATAGTGACAGATAAAAAAGGACTAAATAAACTAATTCATGAGGTGTTCAACCAAACCTGTAATAATAGGTGCGGGATTTACTAGAAAACGAGCAAGAAAAGGGAGGATGCTGTTTCTGTATGCGACGGTGCGTGCGGAAAGCAACCTATAATTCGAACGGGTACGGGGGTTTGACATTTATTGTGCGGTTCGCACTTTAAATGTGCAAAGTGAGAACGAGAGACTTGATGTTAAATACTTGTCTCTTGAAACTAGATGGTTGATAAGTGACTGGAGTTGATTGCTTCTCCGACGTTGGCAGTTGCGTGACCAATGACGGCAACGTAGCATAGGAAGTAAGCGCCCACAGGTGTGAGCGGAACACACAAGACTGACACACCTGCCTCAACATGAAGTTTGAATGAATTTAAAAGGTTCTACGTATTGTGCGGCCGTTTGGTCAATTCTGCTTTACGGTTGTTCGGCCTTGAATTTGCATGTCGAAGACATCTATCGACGAGGGGTTTTCGGACAATCAATGCTTACGCAAGTCACATTGGCTGGATTAAGGCGGTGAGCAATCTTGAAGTAAGCCCTCGTGTATTTGGGAAAGACTCCGTAAAAGATTAGTTAACAGTTTGAGTTCAGATTGATAGGCTTTGCTGATGTCCCGCAGTTTTCTGCGGCGCCTCACCTTATTTACAATTACCGCTCCGGTTAGGAGAAGATCACATGGAGGTCAACAGATGACACGTAGATCAGACATGAAGAAATACACAAATCGATTATTCAGAGTAGATGTCTCTTAGTTTTCAGGCTGGGGTCCCAAACACTCGTGTATCGGGGACACGAAAGGACATGTAGGTGAACCGATAGCACTGAAAACCTTGCTGTCATTTCCTTTAAAGACAAAATAGTTGAAGAAGTGTAAATACACAGTCAGGTTGTTTACTGCGTACGTGTTCACCATAGATCTTCACTTTTGTTTTCCACCCACTCAACACGGGCCTACTCCTCATCCTCTTCTCACATTCGCACTTTTATAGTTCGGCAGCACTCGATGAAGTTAACTTCACTGTATTTATCCCCACGATGACAAAGTAAAAGGTAAAATGAAACTTAAAATTCAATGAGTTCTACTGTTTAGAAAAGTATATTCATCAGTTGTTATACTTTATTAAGGGTGTTATTCCTTTTTTATCATAGAGATGAAAATCTATTCGCCATTTACTTGAAGTTGTGTGGGAATAATCGGCATATGGACGCCATAAGACTTACAGATGACGACTTGCAACCGATTTGTTCAGCATTGCTGACGAAACCCTGCGTTTCCAGTCTAGATTTGCGTTACAATCGATTAACCGATATCGGTGCAAAAGTTCTGGCAACATTTCTTCTAGTAAGTTTCAAAATAAGCCTGGCAATTTTGTGGTTCCATAGCTAATTATTTTTGAGCGGTTCTATAAACGGTATCCATGCGTTTTCGAATATCAGTTGTTTGTGAAATTGCAAATATGAATTCAATAGTAGAGTAGCAGGCTTGGATTAGCCCATTCGTTTGTTAAGAGGCACCAGGCACTCTTGATTTTCTTGGGTGTGGGTTTCAATCCATGGCGAATCGTTAATTCCCCACAATTTCATGCATTTACATGCGATAGGACATCAAGAGTGCCTGATGCCTCTTAATAAATGCATGAGCTAATCCAAACTTGCTACTCTAAAATTGATTGAGCCATTCGCACAAGGTAATGACCGCCGACCGTGGAGCTCAGCGGTAAGGGTTTGACGTCCCGACCCGAAGGTTCGCTGTTCGAGTCCTGATAGGGACACAAGACGTACGCACTGCTGACGAGTCCCAAACAGGACGAAACAACTGTCAAGTGCTCTTGGTTGGGTATCACAAACATTTCTATCGCATGTAAATGAACTCAATTGTTTTTGAATGTTAAGGCTACTTCAAATTATGAAACCGCAATGAGATAATTCTTGAAGAAATCAACTTATAAGTAGAATAATCTACATCAAAGATCGCATACGCCTCACATACATTTTTCATTGCCATTTTCTTTGCTTTTCAGGAGTATAACCTTCTTGAAGAGTTGAACTTGATGGGTAATGATATAGGTGCATTGGGCGCAACTTATATTGCCGATGCTCTAAAGGTAGGTTGCCCAATGAAAAATGTTTCGAACAACTATAGAGATTCAGTCATGCAACACTGTGTGCTAATTTTTGGAATACTTCCTACTCAGTTGATAAATCAAAAGCCCGGACCTAACAAAATAAAAAAGATACAGAAAGTAAAATCGCAAAAGCCAATCGAACTTGTTGATTTATAATTCAAATAAGCACACTTATACCTTGCAGATGTAAAAACACGTGCACCACATTTTTAAACTTCGCGGTAGTAATGCGGAAACGGAAGCAAGTGCAGTAAGGTTTGTTTACAAGAAAATCCTTGAGAATAGAGATTTATTCAAACGTATAACACCACGGGTGCATTCAACATGTTGGTGATTAGTTTTGTGTGCTTTCACTAAGCTACCAATGCAGATTATGTAGGTTAGAATGTTGCAATGAGACTAGCAAACCTGACGTTTACAGGTTCACCTTAAATCAATTAAAGAACTGTTTCATACCTGCGTAGTTGATTTGAAGCGTTCTAATGTCAAGGCTATTACTTTGTAACATCCGTTTTCTCAGTTTTCCATTCGTTCTTACACATGGCGGAGAATCCCGTTTTTTGAAATCTCTGTTATGCGACTTATTTAAACTACTTAGTTTATTAACTTATCTTAGCGTTATCTTCCCAGGCCATTTCGCACTGATTTTCGCCTTATCGATTTGATATGTTTTTATCACCAACAACTTTCTTTCAGTCGAAGTTAACTATTTCTCATTCTCCTNGCCATTTTAGTCTCTGTCTCATTGATTCTCAGTATTCTGTAGGCCGATTACTCACATGGATCTTTTCAATCTCAAATGACTGTAGTATTCAATCGATATATGTATGTCCATACATTTATATGGTGCCAAAACAACCGGACATTCGCAGCTAATAACCCTTTAGCTCTGATCATTTCTTGTTTTGTGCTAATAAATCAAAGATTATGAGGCTTTAATGCTCAAACCAGTCATTATGATTCAAAGGATATGGATATATCTTGCAACATTATCTCCTAAATGAAATTACTATTGGTAAAGCTCATGTTTCAGCAATAAGCGAAATTGTTCCACTATTGTTTGATCGATATTTACGGGTCAAAATTTGTTTTCCGGCTGATTTGTATGGGATAACGAACTTTCATTTTCCAGAGGAAAAGCAGTTATGCATTGGACTACGCANNNNGGGTAGATTTGTTTCGATAGCTCTTTCAGAATCATTCCATTAAAGAATCAATTCAATGCTTCGATGTTCTGCAGGTGGGTTAGATGATACTAACCGCAACAAACGCAATTTGAGCGACTTTATTGAATATTTTACAGTAAGTTGTATATGAATGTCTACCGATTCGCTTGCCTGACAAGCGGCGAGAACCGTGAAACCGGTTGTGTGCTTCCAGGGAAGTTTGGTCTAATCTTTCATATACTGCTCATTGTAATATATATATATATATATATCGATGCGATTCAGTCGAGTGTTGGACTAAATCTTAGAACTCAAATTCCACCTGTAGAGCGAATACGGAGGTTACAGATTCGTTGTCATGGGGCTTAGGGCCCGACATTCAAGTCCTGTCAATCAAATTCCAAGATAGGATGAGTTGCTGTCTCCCCATTCAGTGGTACGCATGCTCTACTTGATCCTACTGAATTTCACAATCCAATTCATTGTCTTCCAAACGTATATTCTTATTTTTGGGCTCTGAAACAAGTAACAAAATAATCAAGTCTAGGTCAGGTCAGGTCAGGTTTCTAGGACGAAAACAGGCTTTCGCCTAACGTGCGTCCAGATTCATACACCAGTAGGATTTGGGACTTCCTCTGGTTCTACGACGTGAATATTTTTTTCGTGGGTTGTCATGATTCGTTAACCTTCTCTAGATTCGGACAGCTACCCCAGCGAGCAACATTACCAGTGGTTTACTTCAGGTGATACTGTTTAGAGTTAAGTCAAAAAGGTTTACACAGGGAGGAAAGGTAAGAATATGAAACTAGAAGTACCATTGTGGAGTCGCACTTCCGCACTCATATTAGAGACCTGCATTTGTAGCACATTCAGCACTGGCCAGCAAAGGGAGCATCGTGTCACTTTTTTTGTGCGATGTTTGTTTCTTGTATGCCTTCGTGTGCTGCAATGGTGAGTGGTTTGCTTAGATATGTTCGGGTGCGTGCTGTATGGTATACAATGTATGAAAGCGTGGTGGGCTTTTCGTGCGCGGTGTGCAGTAGACCTTTTATTATTTTTTATAATCATAATCTCTTTGTTTTGTTTTCTTTTGTTTATTTATCTTGTTTTTGATTTCTTTATTTCAAATTCTTTTATATTTTTTTGGCCTCTTGAGACCACCCACAAATGATATGTTCGGTGAGAACTGTTGTCGTTTACCTCAATTTGCTCATCACATGAACGTCAATTAGAGACCAACAGGAGTACACCGCTATGGCGTTCCACGTTTACACTGGCTCCTTACGGTCTGGGCATGGTGGCCACTTTTTTTATCTATAGACCGCTGATCGATCAAATTGAGTCAAAAGGCTCTTGCGGTTACATTGATCATTACACTGGTCTACATTGATCATCAAAGCATGGAGTTGTGGCCTGATTCGGATCCACTTATGCTAAATGTCTTCAAGGAATTCACAGCATTCAACGTCAGACGCATCAATCAAATGACACCTTAAATCTAATGTTCGAAGTTTATTGTGGTATAACTGGCCAGTCGATGAATAAATAAAAAAGTTGGTCCGCTTACTGTGATTTTATTATTATTCAATGCAGCATAAGTCTTAATAAAAAAGAAATCTGTAAGATTTGTATTATAGCAAGCTCTGTCATTGTTTCCGAATCCCATTTATTCAATAATCACAATATAGAAATAGAAATATTTATTTATGATACATCTGGTTTTTGTAACTATGATACGCTTAAAGTAATTTGTGGCTCTTTATCATTCGTTTCTTTTCGAAGGTTACTGTTTGCTTTTCTCAGATCAGTGATTTATGGGCTGACATGTTTTAATGGTGCACATCCGGGATGACCCAGAATGAGTGAAGGAAGATCACTCTAACTGGATGTTTACTCTAAAGAAATGCATGCCTCACATTCTCAGTATTTTTGTACAATTAGAGATGAATGCCACTCCGTTGATTCCTCAGCTTACGATTGTCCACCGAATGAATGCTATCTTTTCAAATTCATGCATTCTTTTCAATACAGATTAATAAACACTTGACCGTTTTGAAGATGACCGGAAATCCCATTGGTTGCCAAGGCGGACTGAGATTAGCCCAGGCTCTGCAAATAAACAAAACTTTGGAATTCATTGATTTGGGTGAATGCGATCAGGTAAAGTAATTCCTTGCTTTACCCTCTTTGGATTTTATTGTATTTCAAAAGAAGTTCTACGAATCCATCGGCTTGTGTTGTCCAACTTAAAGCCAACCGGGTGTTTACCATTAATTGGCAAAGTGTCTGCCTCTGCCGCTCTATATAGCGTATAGTCCATAACGTTCGCCTGTAGAGCAACGGTCATTTTCTGATTGGATTTGTGAACACCGCCTTACTGAAAACCGACAAGCTTACCAGTGGTCTCACAATTAGTTCAAAAAAACCACATATTGAATGTGACAGTTCCGATCACATGCATTAACCTCAACAGACGCGGTGGGAATTCGCCTTCTTTGCTAGTCCCTCTGTGTTCAAGAACAATAAGTAAATACAACTAAGCTTTTCTTGTCTGCTCCACCTGCGAAATGCACGACGTACGTGGACAATCAAAATTCATTTGTGATCCAATACACGAGAGTAGCAGAGGATTCGTTTCGATTCTTTCGTGAATTTCGTTGTGTGCAGAGCAAATGAGTTGTGATCTAAAAAAAGGAGGAAGCACTGTGAAACTGGCTGAAGTTCATCATTAGTGCGAATTCAATAACCGAACTAAGAATGGAACACAAGTAGAATACGAACATTATACCCACTCAACTTGGTAACATTTGATCAGACAGCTTTCTATCTTGTCTATCCCCGATATAGCACAACCCTCCCCCTCTGTAACCTTGCTGGAGGTATCTCAACTGGCTAATTTAAGCGTAAACCTCCAGAACTGTCATTTTTTCTCTTCTACATCTTAAGCAATTGCACCTACATATGGAAGATTTTTGGCTATTAGCTGTTTCACAAGTAATAACTGAAGAACGTTTACCTATACACTCGAATATTGTGTATTATAACTTCCATGTGAAACGTTTCAGACTTTTAAAATAAAAAATGAACTTACTGTTATGTCTCTTCTGGACATGAGTCAATGTTTTCGCAAACTTCCTTCACTAGCGTAACTGTTTTCTTTAAACTATTCCACAACACATTGAAAATCTAATTTGGGCTAGTGGTAAAACGCTTACAAACTGGATATACGGTCCACCGAACTGGAAAATACGATTTTAGTCAATCCGAGTTGCGCGAAGTAATTTTCACTGTTGCGTCAAGTTTGTTTAACACTAGTTAGAACTCACAACACTAATACAGTTTTTGTTATTCTGTTTTGCCAAAACTCATTTTTCCCGGATCAAAACTAAGATTAACAACGGTATCTGAAATAGTAAAATCAGAATTCTATAGATGGAATTCCACACCGGCACTTTCTAAAACGTATACAAGTATGTTTCTGTTGTTCGACCGAAATGATGCTTCTGGTGCCAGTTGGTTTCGTAATATTCATGGACTGCCGATGATCGTACAAAACCTGTAATCCTAATACGCAATCATTATTTGCAGATTATTTTTATTCCGTTGTGATACACATCATTTCTGTTTTAGAACATAACTAGTTGTGTGGCTTTTGCCACCATGCTTCGGGGCAATCGGGCGTTAAAAGGGATCAATCTAAACAGACAACTTCTATGGACATTGCAGGAAGAGCCGACAGTTCATATCGCGAAAATGCTATGTGTGAGTGTGTGCAACCATTCCTTAATCTATGTATTATGATGCCGGCTTAGGTTACCAAGACTGTCTGCTTTCGTTTGTTTGCATTGAAACATCCCTGGAAACCATCTATGATGTGTTGTGAACAACTTAGGTTTTTCGAGTCGCTTTCACAAAATTATATTGTGATCGCATCAAATAAATTTTAGCTTTAATAAAGGTATTTCAATTTTTATAAAAAATCTTGAATTATTATTTTTAACTACTCGTGCATGTTAAAGATGAGGTCAGCAATAACTTTCTTTAAGTCTACCAAGATGGATTTCTCTGTATCGTGGGTCGAGAATGAATCATACTGGTTAGCTCAAGTCAGATCAAGGAGTCGTTTTATACATCCGAGGGGCAGATATTCAGAAATCACATAACCACAGCGCTTCAAAAATAAAAAAGCAAAATATAATAGAACAGTTACAAAACGTGAAACAAAAAGCAACATTAAAAAGACCGTTGATGAACAATGGTGCTCGCCATTTGTTTAGATTAATATTTTGCTCAGATTTTCTGCAACGAGGTCATGATTTGTAAGCAATCTGGCAAGATAGGGGTACCAGAGCGCCTATAAACCTCAGTGCCTTATCTGCTTGTACCTGGAACGCGTGGATGAATAAGAAAGATAATGACTAAAAGCAGGATTAAGGGGATTGAAACAATCAAATAAAATCGTCTTTGAGAATGTTTTACAAGCTTTGAGGTAGTCTGCTACCACATGCCAGAAAAACGTTTTTGACTCGGCCAGACAAGGTACTCAGTCAGGTTGAAAATAACACCACGGTATTTGACAGACGGTTGTTGACCCATCTGGTCATTTACGATAGATAAAGAGAGGCTGGCATTTGACAGTTCATCATGCTTTGAACCTTTCAAAAGGGTAAAGATTACGTTATTACATATTTTGAAACCCCTTCACTACTTCTAATATGACGTCTTGTGGAGGGGTCTGAAATTGTGGGTTAGGGTAGGACAGTCCGAATATTCTATCGTCCGCATACTTAACTAGAAGAGAAAAATTGCTCACAGATAGAACAAATGTAAGTGGAAAATAAAAAGGGGATAAAATAGCACCTTGCATTGCGCATTGTGAGGAGGGCGGCAGTGAAGATGCACGACCTTTGTATCGTGTGAACTGCCGACTGGTGGAGAAATAGGTGGTCAAGAGTTCATTCGTAAGAGGTTGACCGCCGTCTGAATATTATATTATTTTTTACATATGTCTGAGGCCAGACTGTGTCCGCCGTCTGAAGAGAGGGTATCTAGCAATAGTTGCCTATCAATCGTGTTGAAGGCCTAGTGTGGACAACATATGGACAGTCTTGCTTTTCTTATCAAGGTTGGATAAGGCAAAATAGGAGAGATATAAACAAAGACATCCAGGGTACCTCGGGAATGGGGGTATGCAAACTGATGCGGGTCACCAACATTGAACTGGGAGAATAGGGTTTTAATCAAGAGTCGCTCAAACATTACAACAACTGAGGTGCATGCACTGGGACGAAAGTTTGAGTAGCCTTTCTTCGATACAGGGGTGATTGAGGCCATTCTCCAACAGTTGAGAATAATTTACTGCGAATACAATTGTTGAAAAATGCACACAATACAGGGCAAAGGAAGGTAGCACATTGCTTATGCCAGCTGATGAGACTCCACAGACCCACTGGACCTGCAACGATTGAATCGGGTCAACTCGTAATAAATTTCGGCATAGGCAACGCCGGCAGCAGGATCGGTCATGGTTATGTCACGTCTCTTAGGTTGGCCATGGCGCGCGATTCCGTTGTTGATGGCGCTTTGATCCAGACTTGCTATTGCTACAGCACCAGATACGCGGTAGCAGGGTTTGATGTCGGAAACTCATATAAGGGCTTGCCAGATCTCACGACTAGGCGTTGTCAAGCTGAGCCTGGGCGCACCAAAAGTTGGGCCTGCTTAGTTCATCTATGATGGATTCAGAAAGAGTGCACACCTCATTGTGCTCATGCTTTCTGAGAGCACACTACTTCTTACGTATATAAATTCTTTCTGAGGCATAACAAACGTCGTAAAAATAGCTTAGGTAAATTGTTAACTAATCACAGAAAATGTGAGAGTTAGAGTCTGAAAACAAAGTCGAGTCTGAGTAGTCGATCTTTTCGTTTGGGCTCGTGAGGCACTCTGGAGAACGCAGTCTGACTTGAAGCTTGTTATCACGACTTCGATCAAAGGGACGCTGGTTGGTTCTGCTGAAAGTGGTAGGGGAACAATGTAACGGAGATTATTCATACATCCCTAAGGGNCATTTGACCAAACACAAATCCCGATTTTCATCAAACCTAGTGAGAAAGATGAAGATGTTTCGAAAACATAAGGTGATTACGAAACGCGCGTTAGAAATAATAAAATCACCGCAATTGATACAAATCGAGGCATCCACATTTTCAGTGCACATGTGTGGTAGTTAGAATAGTACTGAATGTAGGTATACGAGAACCCGTACTGTACTGCTCAGAACTGGATTGGCTCCAACCCGAACTGCGGACACCAATGAAATACACGAGGAATCGATAGCAGCAAATGCCTATGTTTATTGAAGGATATGATTAGTGGAACGGGCATCCTCCAATCACGTTTGCACCGTTGGTACCGACGCATCATATGTACTAAGTCGAATGCCATGTTTGCCCGGTGTACCATCAGTCAAGCTTCCGGAACGGTGATTAGATGACAAAACTGTACGTGGTCGCGCATGGATTGCGGTCACGGAAGTCTGGATCACCACAATATAGTTGGAAGAATATTATCAGAATCACTGAGAACAAGTGAGAAAGAAGGGAAAATATATACATTCACAAGAATGAGTGACCAGGAAAGACGTAAATGTTAGGGTTTACATTGCAGTAAGAATGCACATATGTACTGCAGAATAAGAAAATAGTGTTTTGGTCAGTTGACCTCGTTGGGTTTTGACCAATGTGATGACACAATAACCCCCGTCTAGAGTAAAGAGCGGGACGATTGACTTGATATATAGCGAAACCATCCAGGCGCACTAGAGTACACCCGGGTCATTATCACGTATTCGATTGTGAATCCAGATTTCTTCAAACATGATCACACCAAGCTGGGATTCTTCCCACAGTTTGGCGAAACTGGTGAGATCAGTTTTATTTCTGACGAGAGATTAGACGTTACAGCTAAGACCGATGGGAACAAACGAGAGATGGTTTGTTTCCGTGGTGCAACTCTTTGGGTTTTTCCAAAGCTTTCTGACGGTCCTTTTGGATTAATTCCTTTTTGTCCTCCCAAAAACAGCTAATAGTTTAACATATCTTCCATTTGATTGAGTATATAAACTAACGGGTACTTAATCAAATTAAGGATCACTGTAGTCGCACAATAGTTGCCTTGGTAACCAAGGTAAACGTTCATGACTGGACTGGCGGAAAAGTCAGGTGGACTCTAGCTTCTTGCACTAGATTAGCCCGAAGTGGGCGACACGGTGCTTCGATAATCGCTCGTGCGAATGACGCAAGATAAAATCGGAGGAACATTGATGGTTATTCAGTGAATAATCCAATGATGGAAAAGCGGATAGCGTAACCGAACTTTGAAGGTCGCGCCTCTGGTGACACAAGCTGATCAGGCAGGTGCTGGTGACCAAATTTTAGTTTGCTCCCATGATGCTTGTGGAGACCTTGTATTCCGTTATCAACAGGTTGAATGACTTTGCACTGCTTATGACACTCGCAAAACATGTATCGGATGCTTTTCACTTTTTCCATTTCGCCTGTCTTCGTCCTTTTTACCATAGAAATAAATTCTGTAAACCAGTAACTTTTTTAAACAATATGCATAGCAAACTGTAGTTAAATCTTTATTGTCGAATACCCACGACGTTGTTTCCACATCTGTAAGTCACATACCTTCTGTAAAATATATATGTGTATGGTGATTAGGTCAAGTCTTTTTAGTGGTATCCTCAGACTTTAATAAACAAATACTTGCACCAGCCCCTAACCTTACTTGCAACTGTCAGCGTATGGCTTTCTATGGTCATTCTTTTATCATCGTTCAATAAATATTTTTTCCAGATTCATAGAATAACCTATATCGATTTATGCTCAAGCATGGTTCATTTAAAAAGTCCGTTGGTAAATTCATTTAATTGTATAGTGTTGAGTGCAGTGTTTTGGTCCTCATGTTCCAGTGACCCTGGAATAGTCGAGATGTGTACGATTGCACAGGTTCGATAATGGGACGCTCAATTTTCGCTCATTAATCTGCTTGTATAATACTGACGAAAAATGTTTGTTGTAACAAAGGCAGCTCATATAGGAGTCACGACTAATTTCAGAAAGCATTTCGATGACTGTTATTTTTTCTTTACTAAGATTTTTCAAGGTAATCATGAGTATGAACTTTAACAGGTACCCCTAATACGGACTTATATGTAGGATCTAGATGTTTAAAATTGATCTATCCGATAGGATGCGGCACATCAATCGAGTAGTTTTACCAGTACCCTTCGTTGTTATTGTAAGGCAACGTTTCACTGGTTTGAACACGATTCTTGATAGGAAATACTTCATTTATACTTTTGAGAAATATTCTTGTCCAATGGTGAACAGACCCGAAAATGTATTTCCAGATTGCACTATTTGCCTTTTAAGGAGAACAAATGCATACTTGTTGTGTTATCTCACCGCGTTTTACGGACCGTGAATTTCAATATGCACAAGATTCGTTTATACTAACCTTATTCTAGATTGGTATTTAGTGGCTAAAAGGGTTAAAACCTTCGAATCACTCTCGAATACTGACTTCTGGAAAATCTCTAGTTACATTCGATATCAGTCAATCACAAGATGCAGAAGTATTTCGCGAAACAACCAGAACTTTGGGAATCAAACCGGATAAAAATTGATGGCTTTGCCTAATGAGTCTTCGCCACAACGATTCATCAATAGTAAAACCATATTATTCAGTCATACGCAAAACAGTTAGGTCCGATCGCTTCAGCGATTAGCTGCGCTATATGAATTATATGAAGAGAGTTTTGCAACCAGCACGTTTAATATTTGTCTACTAACTGCTCCAATAACAATATGTACGTTTCTACTTTAATGAGACACACCGAGTCACATTTCTCGCATCCAAGCATAATGTGACAATAATGAAATTTGCTGAACTTCCATTTTTTCCCTGTAGGTAAACAGCACTCTGAAAGAGTTACATCTATCTAAGGTAGATATGCGAGATTTTGGTGCTGAGCGATTGGCTGAAGCCATGGAACGTAATGATACCCTGGAGCTCTTGGATATTAGTGCGTAAGTCAGACATTTAGCTGTGATATTTCAGTGATTCAGTAACGTCTCTATGAAGTTGCGTAACATATAGTGGAAACTGTCATGCATAGCAACTGATGTAATCGGGAAGGGACACTGGAGACAAAAATAAAATATCTTCTCTCTGAAGCTGTCCACTTAACCTTTGTCCTTTCATCCACCCACCCCACCCCACACCTCCACGACTCTACCCCATTGACTATCACTGTAGCCTTTTCATATTTGTTTGCTCTGTTTACTCGCTTCTGTCAGCGCTAATAACAGCTTCAATCCACCAATCAGCTGTTGGTACTATGATCACCTTATATATGTAAACGGCTGATGCGATATATCGAAAAGAACTTTTTTCGCGAACACCGTGTTCTGCATTGTCTAAGGGGCTATTTTACGATTTGAAACATTGCGGACGGGTTTAGGATATACCCTTACAAAAACTAACCGTTTAGCCAATTCCAAGGTTCTGTCCTATTTCACTCATTTTCAATCATGAAAATAACCCCAGAGAATGAGGTGACTAATATTTATTGTTAAAACTCATCATGAGCAACCACACAAACAAATAATTCCGTCGCTTCTTTGGGTGTGGTCCATTTCGACCACACTGAGCTTTCCAAGTAATTCGTTTCATTAGTATATAGAAAAAAGCGCTCATTAGACTGACGAGTATTGCACTAGGTGAGTTACATCTCAGTCAGCACTCAGTATTATTTTATATTTTATTATTCTTCAAGAAATCGAATCGCTCGAGATGGAGCTCTGGCGTTGTCGCGTGTTGTTGCAGCCAACTGTTCTCTGGTAATTCTGGATTTGGCTTTCAATCGGATCCAATGTGCCGGCGCACGGGCAATGGCCTCAGCACTGTTGAGTAACACGCATCTGAAAGTGTGAGTGATGTGAATTGAACAATTGAACAATAATGAACATAGTTTTAAAACTCGCCAATGTTGTTGAAATTTAATAAAATAGTATTATTACATTTAGAGATCGGTCGATAAAAATTAATAAAATGTCCTTGTCATTTTCGGTTACCTCTGAGTTTTAACTTCCCTATAGGTATACGTATATATGAGTATATAGATTTATGTTCATCACCAGCTTGCGAGCCCGCGTGGTGTCAACGCCGCAATAATAATAGCAATAACAGAAGATGGGGAAAACGGGATATAGAAGACGGATGAAGGTTAAGCAGTTACAATAGATAACAGTAGATAAAAAGAATAACATTTGTGTGCGTTTCAGCGTACACGTTTTATATTTGTGTTTTTTATCCTTATATTACGAAGCACGGAATTTCAACAGGCAGAGCTCACAGCATTTGCCCCACTGGATTCTATTCTGGGCCTTATCTCTCAGCGTCCCTAACCAATGACAGGTCTCATCCCTTGGGCCCCAATTTAATAAGCGGGCTGCACCAGCCGATGTCAGAGCTGAAGCTAGGTTCTTATCTCTACCCCACGTCATGGCCTGATCACCTACACGTCTTCCAGCCCCGTCCAGCAGATGCAAAAGTAGGACGGAAAGGTAGTCGATGGCATACGCAAAACGTGACCAAGCCTTCGGAGGCGGTGTAAGGAAATTACATCTGTTAGAAAGCGACTATCCCACATACGACGACGAACCTCGTCATTGCTCACCCAATATCCCCACCAGACACGTGAAATGCTTCAGAGATATCGGTAGTCGAATACAAAAACCCAGTTAGCATCATCGACGTGGAGGGACCAGGTCTCGACATCGTAAAGCAGAACAACACGAACCATCGCGATGTATACACTTCCCTTGAAGAAGAGTCGAATGACATGGAGGGGACACAGATGTTGCAGATTGGCAAAAGCTGTCCTAGATTACGCTTTTCGTGATATGAACACCACTTCAAACATCTACCAAGCCTTCGAGGTAATCAAAGCTTTTAACTGCCTCTGGCTGAAAACCACAGAGGTTAAGTGCCTTCGAAAACCTCAGTATGGTCAGGGTGGGTGCCTGAGATTGTGACTGGTCACCATTTCCTTACACCTCGCGAAATGCTCCTATATGACCAAGCGTCTCAAATAGCCTCTGCTGAGGAAGACCTACTCNACTGCCTTCTCGTGGCGGCTTTTTCCACCAAAATGAGAGGATGAAAGTTCGACATCCGGGGCTACAGCCGGGTTGGTGAACCGTTGGCAGTTCACCTAGGGGACTTGGCTAAAAATCATGATTCCAAATCAATCAAGAAAAGGCGTAAGAACCACACGCACATCTTCCTGGTCGCGGCAGTGGTCACAAACTCGATTGGGCATCGAGGTGTATTGGGTACCTTGGACGTTTGACCCCGTCCAAAGGGCGTATGATCCAGTGAACTGGACACCGGCCCCCAGTGGACTGCAGACTGAGCTCCGTTCTGTTTTCTTGTAGGTCTGGCTTTCTAGCCAAAGGCTGCGGGTGGGGATCCCGAGGCTATCCCCCATCCTCAGCCAGGGCAACCGAGAATTAACATGCCCACACAACCCATGAGCAAATTCTTCAATCTCTTTCTGTTCATATGTTGTGGGACATTTGCCAGTTCTCTGTAATTGGTCACGTATTGAATAATAATAATTAGTACAGGAACAGGATCCTGCCATTCTTGAACAAACATTTCGCACTTAGATGGTACAAACACATACCACACCTGGATACCTCGATCACCAAGCGGTTCAAACCGTGTTGGAATTCCTGTGTAATGCCATGTAGCAGGCGATTTCATCGATACATTCTGAATGAAGGACTCTGTTCTGTGCGAGGTGTTTCTTGTGTCTGGTTCCCGATCGATCACAATGTAACACACAACAAGACATCACACGAAGACACAAAAGATAACACACAAGGTAATACAAGATGACACACACAGACAACACACGATAGCACAATGCACAGTGATACAGATCGGCGTCAGCCACGATGTGCCTGGAGTGGAGTCGAGGGTACACAGCACAACACGATAGTGGCACTCACTATCGATAATGGCCTACGAAACACAGACTGGACACTCACGGACGACGTGCACGATGTCACAGAGCGCGAACGCACACAGAGACACGAGGTAGGTCCGAACGCTACGGAGCACGTACCTCAACGGCCACACTGGTCGTCTAGCCCCACGAGTACGATCACAGCACAGATTGGACGCCACGAGCATTAGTAGTCTTCTCCCAGCTGCGTAAGCAAGAACACAGATGTTTCACAGTGAACGTATACTTAGCACACGGAAAGCAAGTCAAATTTACAGTGGAAAAATCACCTGCTTATATACTGTTTCGGTCTCCGGACACAGAGACCTTGAAAATTGATGCAAAAAATGAGGAAATTTACAGAATCGACCAATCAGTGACCGCCAGCAGGATGTGGACGATTAGCACCAAGAAAAAACGCCAAAACGTTTAAATTATTAAAACAATAAATTTGAAATTATTCGTAAAATAGGCAGTTTTAGGTAAAAATAATCCTTTTACCTAACAGTGTTCTACTCCACCGATTGCTAAATCTAAAGAAGACATGCTCAAGAACATACTCTATGGCCAAGTTGAAGAGGAATGGGATATAACAAAACCTTGTCGAACTCCACTCCAAACCGCAAAGGGTAACGAAAGCTGATCAGAGGCCTTTACTCGCCCTAGGATATGACAATACAACGATACACACTTCTTAGGAACTCCATTCTCCATCAAACAGTTCCATAGTGTGTTCCTATCGGCAGAGTCCAAGACTACGTGAATGTCTAATAACACAATGATCATGTATTTTCACTAATATCTTAATTTTCTCACCATTTTATTGCCGTACTCTCCCCTTCTGAACCCGTTTATCATTTATTTACATATTTCATGGCCAATTTTTTTCGAGAAGAGATAATAGGTGCGGTTACTTTTGTTTTGCTCTATCTATATTTTATCCCATCCGGTCTGCACGTGATATATACATGTATATTAATGGAAGTTCCCGGTCACATGGTGTGGTTACCGAAGGCCATGAAAAGTTTGGGTAGTGGGTGGAAGAAAATCAAGGGTGGTCAAGCTAAGACTTGGCACGAGGGTATGAAAACCCTGACCAGGGGACTGGGTCACATAGGTCCCGTTAGGCTTTCTGGCTGGGGACCTCGAGAAGATCGTACTCGTTGGTTAGAGACACTGAATGATATGGCTGGATGTCGTAAACAGTGGCGTTCTTGCATCTTTTCAATTTCTGTGCAGCCATAGTTCACTGGAGTTCTCAATTTCCTCTTCGACTCTACCTTCAACTTTCCTGTTCCTATCCTACTATTCATCCAAATGGGCATCCAAAACACAGCAACCAAAACCGGCGCACAAAAGTGCATGCTTAATGGTTTTCAAACTGAACTGAACCTACCATTTATTATATAGATCGATTTCGTTCTTCGGTACAAAACACAAATTTACTTGTCTTCATTATTTTGAAAAAATGATAATAGATGTTTAGGTCAACTGGTTTTCTTTACTCTATGATCCTGTTTTCTAGGCTTTGTGTACAGTTCTGCGAGCTGAAAGGACCTGGATTGTGTGCCTTGGCAGAAGCTTTGATCACGAACTCCACCCTTCAGTGTATCTACATCTGGGGTAATGAGCACGATGAGTCCACATGCATTGTAAGTCGGAACATAACAAAAATCGTTTTATCGTGATTGATCATTGTAAAAAAGCACCATATTTCGAAGTCTGATATGCAGTTAAAAAGCATGCTATGTCTCTATTGTAATACCTCGTAAGTGACTTTACTTTCCCGGTTTGACGACCATTTATTTGTTCACTTACTCACAACTTTACTTGTGCTAGTGCCAACCAGTCTCCGGCGAAATCACTTGTATAAAAAACTACTTCTTCGATCCCTGTTCTTTCACACACATCGCTGCATTACTGGGATTTGAAAATGTGCATCCTAAATAAACGGGAATTTTTAATTCAACTTGCAACTTGTTCTGTCAGAACCTGATAGATTGGAATTCATTCAAAAAAACATTCAGTATCACGACTTTTTCTTGATCCAATTTCTAACTGTTGAAGCTATACGTTTTCAAGTTTTAAAACTAATTATAAGGTGTGGAGGGAAAAGTGTACTACCTCGTTCTCCGCGGACCCTAAATTTGAGTGCCATTTTAAAACATTTTGTTAGCTGTCTTTCGTTTGGATTCAGGTGAAGATCGGTTGACATTCATTATTGATACTACCAACAATCACGTAACATAGTAGGGTCATCAATAATTTGTGTAACGATAACCATTTTAAAAAGAACACGGTTGAACAAACCTTGGTATTTATATAATCACCCCGCACGCGACTCCAACAACAACAATAAAAACACGATGATCCGTAAAAACAGTTGAGTAGTGTGCAAATCTGGCCCAACACCAACAAAACTCATAATGATAATGTGCTGTCAAGCAGGTGGCCCTTTAATACGCAATCGCTACTGGTTAATCTTCTCAGAAAAAGGCTGTGATACAGGGTTTGCCAAGATTCTTCATGAAGTCATCCCACCATCACGCACGTGAAAGTTGCTGATCAAGAATAACACCACCGTTGACTGACACCATTTTTGTGTGGTCGTGGGTAACAACGATTCATTCTCACCAAATCGGTCTCACTTAATGAACTGTGAGCGTTGTATTCCGTTAATCAAAGATAGTGTATTACGCCCACAATCAAATCGTGTAATATTTCGCTCTTTGTAAAGATCGTTGAGCTATGATTTGAATGGCACAGTCTGAATTCAGACATGTATAGGGAGTAGCAAGAAAAGGACAGATATTCCTCGGATCAGAAGACAGAGAGCAACCGTCTTAATTTCCCCATACCGAAAAATGTTTTGTAAATTTATCGGCTCCGGAATTTTATTTTAAATAATATACAAAACCAAGTCTAGGAATCACATTGAAAGTTTCACTTCTGGTGGCTACTGAACGAAATAAGCTTTAATTTGCTTATACTGCTGTTCTTCTTTCCCAGTATGATGAAATACTTAGCAGTATTTAACGTGAATAGCAGGATTAATTCCAAGCAATGTTATAGGTAGCTTTCGATTAGCGTTTGTTAGCATAAAGTTCCTGAAGAAGAGTGGAGAATAACAGTTAGCTCGCATCCCAACAAAACCTTCCGTTTTGTTCAGAGGTTGGACGTTAGTTGTGGTTAACCTGGAAAAATAAGTTACATGTGACGGCTGAGACATAAAAAAGGTTTTGGGGTTGTAGCAGAACGCGAATGTAGGATTCACTTGAAATTACAACAGACTGAATTGAGTTAAGAATGGCTCTACTGCATGTTAAAAGTCGGAGTGTATCTGCGATTGGTATATTTATTTTGGTACAGCTCTAATGGTTTAAAAAGTTCAGTTCAGTTTCGGTTTTTACAACCATCCATGAGACTTCATCTCCTCATACAAGCCCTATTTCATCCGGTCCACCACACATTCTGGGAGTAATTGACTCCAGCATTACCCTAAACGCAACTCATCAAAGTAGTAGACATTCACCGATACCGGTTCATGGAAGTATCAAGATTTTGCTCGGAAAATCCTACATGAGCTTACCGGTTTCCTGCAGGTTGCTTAACATTTAAGAGTCCACTTTGCGGAGCTGTTGAGATGTATCGCTAC